CACTAGGTGGCGCCAGCCTGGCTATCCATTCATAGCCAGTTTATAAGTATTATTTTTTTAATGAGATGTGCAACTTTTCTTGTGGAGGGTCCAACAAACGTTTTTTTTCATGGAGATGCCATTGCTTCAGGGGTGGAGTGGGATCAAAAAACGTCCCAAGACTTTTCCCTGACAAATCGGGACACAGAAAAAATCAAGGACCGAATAAATGAAGAACTCCCCTCAAATCAGCCCACAGAAAAAAAACTGAACAAAACTATGGATGGGGGGAAGGGGATGCAGTGGCCCCAGTCTGAGACTTTACCAGGCCGTACAGATTGGCAGTCCACCCCTGCGTTGCTTTGTCTGAAATGTTTCACAGTCTGGCATTAAACCTTTCTGTCTTCATGAAGACCAACCCAGACCAAGCTACAGGTCAGATCTGTGGAGAGGCAACCCCACAGTCAGAATACCTGTTTTTCTAAGTATTTTTGAGTTATAAAACCACCTGTAATTGAATAAATGTAAGGTAGAGCTGTTTAATCTCATACTATGGAACATTTCTGGCAGAGCATTGACAACTCCATAGGACTCTCCACCAGAAAAAAGTTACACATTGGAACTTTAACAAAACAAAAACAAAATAGATAGACAAAATCGCCAAAAAAAAAAAAAAAAAAAAAAAAAATCTTCCCACCCCCACCCCACAACCTTCTCTCGACACATAAAAACACAAACACAAAAAGTCCAATCTTTGCAAAATGTTCAGGAAAGGCGTCCAAAGAAGAAGAATACAGTAGAATACAAGTTAATGTATCCTTGTAAAAAGTGAATAGAAACATAAGTGTTCCTACCGTACTCCACCTAACTAGAATGAAATATAAATAATTACAGACCTTCTACTCCCAGTCAATTTGTAACTACTACTACTGACTACTTACAGCACAATAACTTTCAATTAGAAGTCTCTGCGTTCTTGTAAACATCTCATCTCGCAAACATTCTTCCACAGGCATTGAGCAGGTGTGACGGGCTGTCTCCCTGTTCTTTATCGGTGTTCGCACATGCCTGGACTCAAACGCCCCTCCCTTTCTCAGTTAATTAAGTCTTGTGGTTGCTCGGTATTATGACAGAACTAATGAAGCTTTTAATGAATATTAGTAACGGTTGGCTGACGTGCTTTACAGTGAGCCGCAGATCAGCGCTGGAACAGAACAAAGTAAAAGTAGGAAAAGAAGAAGAAGTACTGTACTTAAAGGTGCGCTGGTCGAGGGTCCGCTACCTGCTTGTCTCCACGGAAATGTTATTGCTTTGTCTAGAATGTTCCACAGTATAGATTAAACCTATCTATCTTACAAGAGAGACAAGCAGTACGCCACATTACAGTTCAGATCTGTGGAGAGTCGCCCCTACTCACAGAAGAAATTATTGCATTTTTGAGCAGTAGAAGCACCGTAATGAATAAATGCTAGATAGAAATGTTTAATGTCATACCACGGAACATTCCAAGGAAAGCAACGTCACCATGGAGATAAACATGTAGAGGATCTTCCACCAGAAAAGTTACGCAGTGCACATTTAAGTATACATTTTAGGTATCTGTACTTTACTTAAGTACGTTTTAAAGTGGCTGGTTTTTACTTTTACTTCACTACATTTGAGAGCAGGTATCACTATATTTTTGAACAAGACTGAAGTAAAAGTATATATATATTTTTTTGTTATTTCCTGAGACCTAATTTTTAACGCATTCATAATTTGATCAAAAAAAATAATCAATAAAAAATAAAATAAAATAAAAATTATTATTATTATTATATTATTATATTATTATATTATAATTAATATATTATTATTATAATAATAATAATAATAATAATATAATAATAATATTTTTTTCTGATGAACAAAATTCTGCACATCTGTATAAAAATGTCTACATGTGAAGCCTTAAGACCTCAAAATATGCGATAATTACTTTTACTTTTTACTTGAAGTACATTTTTAAATGGGTGTTTACTTACTACATATATAATTTTATTTATAACTTTATTTACAGACTCAGGGTCCAAAGCGTACACAGAAGGACACACACCCAGAATCATATATAAACCCACCAGCACACACACACACACACACACACACACACTTTAAATACACAATTCACAATTAAAACACATACAGCTGACTCTTCCAACATTTCCAGATGTCAGAGTAAAATTGGGTGTCACTTTCCTTAATATAAGTCAAGCAAGTAGATTTTTCCATGTGATACTTTTACTTTTTGTTCCAGTATTTGCTCTTTTACTTAAAGGTGCATTGTGTAACTTTACTATTAGAGGGTCCGCAACCTGCTCACATTGCAGTGTTAGTATGGTAATAGACTTATTTATCTCCATGGAAACGTCAGCAGGCCAAGTTACAGGTCAGATCTGCGAAGAGATGACCCCAGCAACAGCAGGAATGGATGTTTCTATATTATTTTTTTCAATGAAAAGACTCGAAACAAAATCAGTGGCAGATACATGTTTAGTGCCGGACTGTACAACATTCCAGGCAAAGCAATAACTTCGCCAGACAAGCAAGTGACAGACCAGAAAAGTCCGCAGTGCACCTTTAAGTAACAAAATCGAGTACTTCTTCCACCACTGCTGCTGACAAATAAACTAGGTCAGCTGGTAGCGCCTCCCTTCCAAAATGTCCACCACTCGTAATCCACTGCTTTAATTGTTTAGGGCTGAATCTTTAGGGGCCAATTTGACACATTTTGGCCGTCATCCAAAGTTTATCAGCACCTCCGAAGAAACAATCAGGCAAATGACTTTACTTAGTGAAGAAATGTTGGACTTGTAATTTGTATTGTACGGGCTTTCAATAATTTAACACAAGCAAAGGCGATAAAAGTTCCCCCAAGCTTATCGTCAGTGTAATTTGCAGGGATCTATAATGTACTTAGCCCAAAATGACTCTCCATTAGCATTAGTCAGTGATAATCAGGATGTCCCATGGTGAGAGGAAGAGCATTGTATTCAGAGTGGAGGCATCGGTCTTAACTGTAATAAAAAGGTTATTTGAAGCTCAGAGGTTGTGTTTCTAGTTAAAAATACATCAAAAAATTGGTTAAAGGGCCTGTGTTACGCTATTTTCTTATCTGTGTTGTTTCCTCATCAAAAACATCGACTTGTTCTTAGTTTCATTCACACATTTAACACATAAACCCTGCATATTTTGTCTTCATTTTTCTCTCAAACTGAAAACACTCCACACCTTCACTACACAGCCAAAAGTGGAGTGTTAAAATTGACTCTCACAGAATCAATTTTAACATTTTCTCAGGGTTTATATGAGGTCAATCTGTTCTAGAGTTAATTTAACATTTTTGGAAATGTTAATTAAGTAACACTGGACCAAATTTTCTGTTTAACCCCAAAATCAAGAGTTTTGAGAGTAAACGGAGAACACTTTGCAGAATTATCTTGATTTACTGAACAGCACACAGAAGCGTTTTATTTTTACACTTTATTTTTAGTTAATTTAAGATGAAATTATGTACAAAACTGGTTTAAAGTGGTCTTTTATCGTGGGAGTTTGAAGTGGTGTGTGGGAGGTGCCAAATTAACACTAAAGGGAGTTGAATGAAAACTAGGAGAAGCTGAATTAACATGAGTGGAAGTTGAATTAACTTCAACCATATTATATTATAACCATATCTCGCAAATAACCCCAGCTCAAACCCCCATTTAACTTTCAAATAATTAAAAAACACTTTTTTTGTGTTAAATTTTACCATGACATTTTAGCCCTCCAGTTTTTGCTGTGTAGAATCATTTGTTCGTTTTATTGTTTTTGATGAGGTAACAACATTATAACATGACTAAAAGCTCATAAGGACTTTTAACTGTAATAAAAAGGTTATTTGAAGCTCAAAGGTTGTGCGTCTAGTTAAAAATACAATCAAAAAACGTCTCTCTTTACGTTCCTTGGGGCAGGCTGATAGAAACATTTTGCGCATACGTCGTCTCTGAATAACACAAGAATCATGCTCATTGAGTGTCTTGCCCAAACGTTCAAGAACATTCACGACGCAAGAAGTGGGGATTGTTCCAACGACCAAGCAAATCCAACTACTGTTTTTGAAGAGAATGTGAACAAATGTTTTCATTATTGATGAATCTGATATTTGAATTTTATGAACATGCATAGCTCAAAGGTGCACTGTGTAACCTTGTCTCTATGTTACTGCTTAGACTGAAATATTCTGCAGTATGGCATTATTACTAGTAAAAGCACCATAAAAACATGCATTTGTACTGTGAACGGCTTGCCTCGCCATAGACCTGCAACTTACCACCGACTTGTCTTCATGGAGATAGAAAACTTTAATGCCGTACAGTGAAACATCACAGGCAAAGCAATAACATCTCTATGGAGACAAGTGGGCAGGGCACCTCCACCAAAAAAGGTACACAGTGAACCTTTAAAAACCTGTACATGTATAATTATGTAGGAAATGATTTAATGGACCATGAAAATATTCGTAACCAACACCTGCAGTATTGTATATTTTAAAGGTCCTATATTTCTCAGAATATTTTTTTGTGATTCATGTTATAATGTTACCATGCCTGGAATTGTGTTTTGTTTTATTCACACATATTTGAGTAACCCTGTATTATTTAAAGTGTTACATATCCAAAGCTCTAAATGCTCTGTTCAACCTTGTGATATCATGAGTTTTCAGGTTTCAAATCAACAGCTGCCATTTTCCTTTTGTTCAGTAGAGATTGGCAATTTTAGGGCTGATTCTAGTGAAAAAAATAAAAAATAAATAAATAAATCACGTACACAGGGTGGAACAGAGTGTTTTCTGTTTGAAAGAAGAGCTTGACCTAAACACAACACCAAGTATGTTTGTGACGAGCAAACAACATTACTATAACAGCTGTAAAATTGTGTAATGTGTAAGACTCAACGCAAACAAACTAACCACTCTTTTTTCTGTTTAAATGTTGTGTTTTTAGCCGTGTGCCAGGCGGGATGTAAGCACGGAGAGTGTGTGGGACCAGACAAGTGCAAATGCCACGCAGGCTTCACCGGCAAGACCTGCAATCAAGGTGAGCACCAGCCCGGAACGAGCCCGTCAATCGCTCACTCACACAGAAATAGAAACACTAAGTTATGGTCACACAAGACGTATTATGATTTCAAGTACCCTTCCTTTACAATAGAGCAGTACAATGGGGGTCATGGTGTCGGCTATCAAGTTATACCAGTTCATTTTCGAAAGGTATTTTTTGCTTTTTAGAACATAATGGATGGTGGATTGGAGTGCTGACAGATTTTTCAGGGAGAAAAGCAAAAAAAAAAGAGAGGAATGGGTCTTTTCAGGCTGTCGTGTTGTATTTGTTTGTATTTTTCTTCCAAAAGCTGATCTCTTTCTTTCTTTATTTTTTTGTAATTAACATCGTTCGTATTGTTGGTCAATTTCACGTCAAAATTTTCCATGTAGTTTAGAATTTAAATCAGTGTTCACTTCATGTTTTTTTAGCTGTTGGTACAAAAATAGACACAATGCGAAGGCTTTTTGCAGCTGTTCGGGCTGTCCATGAGTTTCACAGCGATGAAAATTAGGACTGTAGCCATAACAATTAACAATTTAAACCGGCAAATGGAAAGTCATCATGTCATGTCACCTACAAAATTCATGAATAGGGATGCACGATCCAGCTTTTTCAGTTCAGCTACGGATACCATGTCTTTAATTACCTGCTGATATCAACCAATATCAACTGTTACAAGTGCAGAGACTACATTTATTTCCTTAATAAATAAAAAATACTTACTTAAACTTATCCAAATGTGTTATGCAGCTGTTATTTATCCCTTGTGTAACTGCGGAACAGCTGTGTAAATAGAAATTGAAATTCAAACATTATGAAATTTCTTGGCCAACTCTGACCAGTAAATGGTCTTATTACATCAAATTATATGTCCAGTCGGGATAATGACTGAACCGATATTTGGAAACCGATATCCCAGGCAATGTCAATCTTTTGCGTCCGTTGAGCTGCCTTTACAAAATGAAAATGCCTGAGAGCCACTCATTTTCAACTCACATTTTAGTAGTTGCAAGAAACTAAATCGATATAAGATGTTATACAGTTAAATGCCTATAAAATATAAAACCATTATCTTTTTATTAGTGCACAAAGTTCAAAGTAACATTTACAATGCCAATTAATCAAAGTACAGTATGTATAATTCAGAAGTCCTTTAGTGAGCTACTTATAAGGGGGTGGAGAGCTACTAGTAGTTCCCGAGTTACAGGTTTTATACCACTGTGCAGAGGCGGCGCTACCATTAGGCAAAAGTAGGCGGCTGCTTTGTGCCCCAAACCTGGAGGGGCCCCAAACCAATCGCCCTCATGCCACTAATGGCCGAGGCCTCAGAGCAATTAGATTTTCTCTCAATATGACATTAAATGAGAGTAGTTTACTTTTAAACAATAATCATAAGAAAAATAATAACAATGTGTAATGGATGTAAACAAAAATGTAATTGTGCTAGCAAAAAAATAAAATTACTTTCAGCTCTGATTTTCTAGTACTGTATTTTACGGGCTATTAGGCGCTCTGGATTGTAAGGCGCACTGGCATTAAATGGTCTATCTTTGAACTTTTTTTCACAAATAAACCACACCAGACTGTAAATGAAACACAACAGTTGGATGGGTCAGTGGGACTTTGTTTGGAGCGTTCACGGTGACTCTGGGCTTTGTTCAGTTGTGGCGTGTAGGGAGGGTGCTGTCTGGGACCGCTGGATTGTCGGCGTGTTCGCAGTGACTCAGTTGTTCAGTTGTGTCTAGAAGCGGCACATTGCACTCGCTTTTTCGGTTCGTTCCTCCGTTCCGTTCCTCGTCCGTGTGGAGTGATGATTGTGGCTGCGGGTGTGTTTGGCTGTGCGGTCGCTGTCTGCTCCGTGTGTGTTTGCGTGCGCTGCGGGTGGTGCGGCGTTGTAGTTTACTGAAGTCATGCTGGGACACCCGAGTGAATTCGTGTATAGGGTTGGAGGCTCAAGAGCGTGTCTAATAGCCCGAAAAATACGGTAAGCTACTTAACTAATAAGACAAGTTTTTAATCCACCATAATTCAAATAGAGATGTGCAAGTCTAAAGAACAATGGGGAAAAACAGACAATAAATATATTATTAAAAAAACAAAACAGAAAAACGCTGCATTATAGTGAGGGTCCCAAACTCAACTTCGCCTAGAACCCCCAAATTGCTAACTCTGCGATGTCCTTTCCAAATAAATGTTGTCAGTATCAGCATCAATATCCGATACCACTATTACATCAGTGCATTCCTGACGCATCAATATCATCAATTTTCAACAGTACATTCCTTTTATTTATGATTTAAATTCCACATTTTTCCCAAACCAACGAGCAGCGGTTGAGTTACGAGTTAAATAAATGTATTCCACTTCAAAGCCCAGACTATAGACCAGAATTTCTGAAGTAGATTTCCCCTCATCATGGATTCATTCTTGAGTGGACAGTACCATACAATGCATCACAATCACTCTCTTTGATGTGGAAATGGGAATTTACCATGCACCGTGCGGCGGCTGCGAGAGGACCACTCCAAAGATACAGGCAGGATGCTAAAAGATTTCATACTTCCTGTCCCTTCTCACCATGGAAACAAGACTTCACCTGCTCGATTGTGCTGATGTGTGCATTTTTAACCCAGGCGAAGGGGAAATATCGCCTTGAGCGTTGTCATCATTGTTTACAACAGCCCCATTCTAACCTTCCAAAAAAAGAAAAGAGAGAGAGAGAGAGCGTAAGACCATCCTGCCTGATCCCTGGAGGGCCTTCTCGATGGTGCTGATAACATCTCAATTACTCACCGGAGATAACTGGCCCAGCCTTGTGCAAACCCCCGCAACTTCTATCACAACTCAACACCAATTACTGAGCGTGTTGAGGAAAAGCCAACAAAAGTTTTAGTATATGTTCAGACAGGAATTGTGAGTGCGTAATTAAAAACCAGGCTAAAAGGTTGGCCTTGGCTCTTTGTAGCTTTCTGTACAGAGGGATATCAGCCTATCTCTCTCGCTTTTTCTCGCAAGCCTCAAGCCACGATCAGACTGTACGGTGCAATTAGCTGTATTTCACTGCTCACTGGTTATCTGTAATTTCTCTCACACCTCAGATGTACAGAGTTTTGTGTTTCGCTCATTGATTCCGAAGAAATCAACAGTGTTTTTCAGTCAACAGTCTCACAGTACGGGCGGGCGACATTGACAAAAATGGATGAAGTCACTATTTTTTCATTTTACTTTAATCCATTTTTTTTTTTTATTCAGACGATATTTTAACAATGCATCAGGAATGTGCTAAATGCTCCTGCGAAGGTCTTACTTGAGATTACAGTTGGTGCAGGAGGAGAGCCCAAAACACATATCAGGCGCACAGGCAGAACTGTATTGTAGGGGTGTAACAATAGACAAAAATCACTGTTCCTCGGTTTTGAGGTCACGGTTCGGTTCATTTTCGGGACAGTATGAGAACAAAATGGATGAGTTTTAAGATTATACAAATGGGAAAATAAAATAAATGCAAAGTGCTGATTGGTAATACTAATAAGTTAAATAAAATATTCTGAAATAAGCAACAAATGTTTGAAATATTATAAAAAATAAATTCCTTGTAAACAGTAAACAAAACTTTTCAAAAAGTAAAGCGCAGCACTAACAGATCAAGTTTTACTCAAGCTTCATATTTTTGGGCAGAAAAAAACAACTTGTCCACACTGTGTGCAGTAAGTCCAGATCTGCTGGAATTTGGGGGGCGGAGATTCTGTGTCGGTGAAAGGCCAGAGTGAGGACCGTGGCGCGACGACCGTAGTTTTGCGAGGATTCACGTGGTTCAGAGGGACGCAGTCAAGGCGGGGGCAACTGTTGTCACGAGGGCTGCCCTAACTATAAAGCGCTGCGGGAAAAACTGCTGCCCCAATCACGGACAAGTTCCCTTATGAATATTAAAGAGCTGAGTCTTCCGTGTAGCTGCACATGTAGTGGCAGAATGTAAACACACACAAATTGCGTGAATTCACTCGTGCACAGCCCTGCACCAAACCAAACGTCCCGTAACGAAACAGTTCGGCACGAATACATGTACCGTAATGCACCTAGTATACTGCAGACCTACATGCAGATGGTGACAAGGCGACCCGCCAAAAAAATCCCTTTTGACCCACTTGAGGGTCACAGCCCAGTCTTGGGGAAAAAATGACAAACCCATATTCTCCTTTTCTTATTTTCTTCTAATTCTTATTTTACCTCCAAAACAACAATCAGTATTTTTCTATTTATTGCTGAGTTTCAGATGACTTCACAACATTCTTTAGACCAGTGTTATTTAATACAAATATGGGGGAGGGGGTATCTGGTTCTTGCCCCCCATAGTGGAGAGGGTTTGAAATGATCATGTTCCACCTTTATTGATTTTAATTCCAGATATTTTATAACAAACTACAAGATAATGAACAGGGAAATCTGGTATCTGATTCTTGCCCCCATAATCACATTCTAGACTCTGCAAACCAGCAGTGACCCACCCCGAGTCCCTGTCAAACTTTTTCTTTTGTTTTTCCTCGCGCACAGTCATATTTGTTTTGATCCACGCGTATCCCTGCATCAGACCTGACCACCTTCATGAAGTTTCGGAGTAGTGCTTGTTCTGCGTCCCACTCCAACTAAAAGTGGGGGTGGAGCTGAAATCCTTTCCGGAATGTTCCAGATGACTCGCGGTGCATTGCCAGGCTATAGGTGGCTCCCGTCTGGCTCTACACTTTGTCTTAATCTGCAACAAAGGCCCAGCCAAAAGGGATCGGTGTCTCATATCCCACTACAATAGCGCCGGCTGCCACTGATCTGGGGGCTAGCTTATCTGACAAACACGATTGGGAGACCTTTTAAAGATGAAACTGTAGCGTTCAAGTGCTCAACAATCTCCCATTTGTCCAAAAAGCTTTTGAGAGCTCACTTTTTATTTCGCCCAGTGTGGCATGCTTGCCCTTTCAGCTATTCCCTGCCGATAACACTTG